TGTTTGGAGAAGTTGTAACCACCTCGAAAATGGAAAGGAATCTATCATTGCGCAAAAAGTTCTGCATATTGACCCTTACTTATGAGCTATTTTCAGATGTCGGCGTATGTTTTGGCTGTCCAAAATACCATTAAAGGCTTTTTCCAAGAGGTCAAGGGCCAGCACAGAGCGAAGGTTAAAAAATATAGGACGATCGCAAACTCCATCGATTAGAAAGCCAGCAACGCTGCAGCAAAATTCATAAATAGGCAGTATAGGTTTTGGTTTTAGCATTGATCAATACTAAATGCTACAGAATGCAGTATTTACAACCATTGAGGCTCAAAGTAGCATATTAAAGTGGAAGCCGGAAACGCGAGAGCATATAAGAACGCAATTTGGAGCCATGCTGGATAACAAAAAGAAACTTCTTTTCATAAAATATGAACATCATCAAGGGATCCGCTACTTTGTTTCCGTCGTTGTAGATTTTGCTGAGTCATAGTGTAGCTAAGCATAAAACTATTCATTAGAATTATATTCAAAAATCATAAACTTTAATTTCTGAAATCGATACCTTGTGCTAACCATACTGCATACATAAGCAACACACTGACAATCCTCATCGCTGATATCTTTGATGCCAATATTCGTAAGGATTTCGCGAGTTTTTGCACAATTTTTAGCTTTAGCTTTGTCTTCCATTTCCCTGGAAAGACATTGCAAAAGTGAGAAAATAAACATATTTGTTAAGTGGACCAAATAAGGTTTACTTTTCTATTTCTGAAACATATGTTGTTGGAAAACATTCTGCCTTTGCAATAGCATCAGCTTGTCCTTTGAAAATAAGTTTTTTCCGTGCTAGCTGCTCCAAAATGATGCGCACTAGTTCTCCCATGTACATACCGGAAATCATCTTTTCAAATCTAAAAAAAAATTTCTGGAAGAGTGACGTGAATAAGCACGCATGTTTTCCGTTTACAGTTGCTTACATGTGCATTTTAGGATTGATACTTTTTTGATCAATCTCCTTGTCATATTCCGTTTGCAGAAATGCAAGACATCCGTCATCACCAAAAGCGCCCCATTCCATGTTTATAATTATCTTTAAAAATTTCGAACTATTCCTTATGCATTGCATGTCATAAGTTAGTCTCACATCGTCTGGGTAGCCGTCATTTTCCCATTTACCCTTCATTTTTCCAACATTTTGAAGCTTTTCCAAGTAACATGCATTAGTCCCTGTCCCGAGAATAACACCAATCTAAACAATAATTGTTTGTAAAATTCTATGTAATATGTTTTTCTTTTTGTAGAGATTTCGCTCCTACCTGACAGGTGTTCTCCTTGAAAGCACATGCCATCAAAGTT